CATTAGTCACTTAGATGTTCTGAGCGTTGTGTTTTCCACAACGTTCCCAGCAGATAGAAGAGCAATTTTATAAGCTTTACTTTGTTAGTTTTTATTAACAAGGACATCATTGGATACTTTTGGCCACAGTTTCTTGGGTGATGGTGAGTTAAACGTTATGCTTTACAAATTTTTTTTAGTTCAGTTTCCCTGATGCCTTTGTCAGTATGTCTATATTGTCAGCAGCCAGCCTTGTAAAATTTTAAAATCCTGACAGTGGTGTAATTCACCACAAGCCAAATTATTAGCATTTCTCTAAATCAGTGGTCAGCAAACTAGCACCCATGGGCCAAACCCAGATGTCTATCTGTTTTTGAATAAAGTTTTATTAGCTACCAGACTTCTTCATTTGTTTACATTGTCTATTACTGCTTTCATGCTATAGGGGAGTTGAGTAGTTTCAGCAGGGACCACATGGCCCATAAACTTTCAAATATTTACTTTTTGGTCCTTCATGGAAAAAATAGTTTAGGTGCCTATTACGTATTACTTATTAGTTGGTGTGATATTGAGCAATGCATTCTACGAGAGCCATTTAGACTCTCTATCTGAAAATGGAGTTTATTTTTCAAAGAAAATTTGCATATGTACTTGTAAGCTGAGCTTTCATAAATGCTCCTAAAATGTTGCCATTTGTGTAGTTTGGGAAGAAATTTAGAGGCTACAAAATGGAAGGGAAACAAATACATAACACTCCTTGTAAAATTCTGGAATTAGACAGTGAGTCTGCAGTGTTTATAAGAATGAGAAAGAAGAGGGGAGTGGATGGTGTTTTAATTTGCCCAGGAAGCTGGGATGAATCTATTTCCTCGCATTCCTGGCTCCAGACACACCTCACCTGTAACAGGTAACTAAACAGATAAAGAAAACCTTAGGAAAGAATACCAGATTCTGGAAAGCTTCAGTAGCACCGAGAGAGAATTAAGACCAAGTGAACATTGTAGAATTTTCTCAGGTAAGAATTGGATACCCTTTAGAAAATGGAAGCCACACCTAAATTCTCCTTACAAGATTTTTTTTATGTCAAAAATGTCTTCAATGAATGTATTCCAGATTTTTTTCTATCTTAAAGATTGTAGACTTCAGAGTACTTTATCTTTACTTGAGCCTAAAACAAAACAAAACATTTTGTTCACACAACCCTACAAAAAAACCCAGATTTTGTTCACACAATACTTCCCTTTCTTCAGGAGGTTCAAAGAGCATTGTGATAATATCTGAAATTCTGAAAGGCCAATCCTTTTTATTGTTTGCTTATTGTTTTGAAGTTTTTATTTTAATTCCAGTTAGTTTACAGTGTTATAGTAATTTCAGGTGTACAATACAGTAATTCAGCACTTCCATACATCACCCAGTGTCCATCAGGACAAGAGCCTCCTTAATTCCTATCACCTATTTCACCCATCTCCCCCCACCCACCTCCCCTCTGGTAACCATCAGTTTAAAGTATGTTATTAAGGGTGTTTATTGATTTGTCTCTCTTGCTTTCCCTTTGCTAGTTTATTTTGTGTTTCTTAAATTCCACATATGAGTGAAATCTCATGGTATTTGTCTTTCTCTGACTTATTTCACTTAGCATTATACTCTGTAGATCCATTCATGGTATCGCAATGGCATGATTTCATTCCTCCTTATGGCTGACACACACACACACATAACATGTACATATATGTACATATATGTATATTTCACATCATCTTTACTCACCATTTGATGGACACTTGTGTTGTTTCCATATCTTGGCCTATTGTAAATAATGCTGCTATAAACATAGGGGTGCATGCATCCTTTTGCATTAGTTTTCTTGTTTTCTTTGGAAAAAAATCTGCAGTAGTCTGATTGCTGGATCATAAGGTAGTTCTATTTGTAACACCCACACTCTTTTCCACAGCGACTACACCAGTTTGCATGAGACAAATCCTCTTTATAGTTTTTTTCTTTCTCTCCTGCTTTTGCTGATAATACAGTGCCTCCTTCCTAGCTTGGTGTTAATAGAAATCATTCTTCCAGCCTCTGGCTAGTCTCCAGAGCTTCTGATTCTACCTTCAGACACAAGGATTGGCTGGAACAGTGTGGGCTAAGGTTGGAATAGAGTAAAACAGAGGAGAGGTTCTTGTATGCAATTCATTTGTTCTTAGGCCCAGCTTGCCTCGTTTCTTCCAGAATGTGGAAATAAACGTGGAAGCCGGGTGGGTAGAAGGGAGGAAGAGGGCAATTCAGTTGCAGAAAGTTTATAGAAAGTCCTCTTTAGGTGGGGCAGCCTGGGGAGCTCAGTGCGTAGAGCACACGACCCTTGATCTCAGGGTTTGATGTCAAGCCCCATATTGGGTGTGGAGCCTACTTTAAAAAAATAAAAAAAATGAAAAGCCATCTTTAGAGGGGAGCTAGTTGTTCACACTAGAGAGAGGGTAGATGTAAATTAATTTGAATTCTTAAGATATCAATTCGCATAATGGGGCAGGGACCCTAAGAGCCTGAATCATAACCCATGTGCCAAAGGATCAGTGTTTAATTATGACTGATATGAAGGTGGTCTATCAATTTAATTTGTTCTTTCAAGTCACTATGGAAGTAAAGTAAGTATTTGGCTAATTCCACTCATTAGTGTACTAAGCATGTAGAATCCATTAAGTGTGTGCAGGAATCTCCAATCTCTTTTATGTGAAATAGGCAGGGCCATTTTATGCATGTCTTCATCCATGTTTACATGCATGTGCTGTTTCTTCATCATCCAAAGAATCTTTTGAAATGGCGTACATGCAAAAGTTACACAGGGGACAGAAATGACTAAAACGTTTGTGGGGATGTGTAATTTCTCAGAAGGAGCCCCGTGTTTACTTTGCATTTTGTCTGGTACGTGATTCAACGGTTGTTTAAAATAGTAAGCTGCTCTATTCCAATGAGTTGTGCCGTGTAAGAAGTTTGCAGAGTTACTGCAAACATGCTAACATTCCTCACAATCTTTGTAGATGACTTTTCAGAATTAACATAAGGTTCGGTTGGAATTATCTAAGAAAAATTTTATTTTTGCCTAATGATGCATCATTTTTGACCCCTAATTTGCCTCTTGTGTCCAAGGAACTTCTAGTTGTTCAAAAAAATAAAGCCACCACTATTATAAAGGTAAATGAAAATAGATTGTCATCAGTAATGATATTAAGGTGAATGGGCTTTAAATACATCATTGCTAATTTGGACTAATGAAAGTGACCACCAGAAAAAAATTCTCTTCCAAATTTGAATCATTTCTCTTTTCACAGGAAAGAGTTTTTTAATGAAAGTGCAAAAAAAAAAAAAAAAAAAAACAATGGAAAATAATGCTTTGCAAAGTACTCCTAAGCAGATGTACAACTGCTATATTGGTTAAGAATTTGTGGACAGTTTCGTAGAAAAGGCTTCGTTACACCACTTGACATTTCTTTCTTTCCAAGCCAAATGAATTCTCTACTTACATACTTGCTTGTGAAATAAAAATATTTAGTAACTCCCATCTTCATGGTAGCAAACTTTAAAAGTTTCTTTATTGCTGCGGAAAAAAGTTTTGGTTCAAAGCAGAGAGGATTATTTAAAAAGACATTTTTCTATAATGTGTCTCTGGTAGAGATATTTGATAAATTCACATGCAAAAGCTCTAATTGCCACCCCTTCTCAAACCTAGCATCATTTTGGGGAGGCAGGAAATAAATTACCCACGCCTATTTAATTTTGTAGGTACCTATCAGTATTACCATATATATTTTATTTTGTAGTAAAAACTGGTATAGAGTTTTAATATTATTGATATTTTTCTCTTTAATTGGGAAGGGATTGCAAGGTTTCTGATTTATTAAACTGGAACTCATTATATATCATGTGGCTCAAAATTGTCATTGTTTACATGTTGGGTAAGTTTACCTGTTTCTATTCATCTGCAAACATGCAAAGTCCATTCAAGGTTGAGGGTAAGAATTCATCCTTGTTCTACATTGGAAGAGGCAGATATTTCTTTATAAAGTCTTGAATGTTCATCTCACTCAATAACTATGGAGGGAAAATGAGGATTAACACACACCGGCACGCACACACACACACCTATTACAAGTGGGAACGACCTTTCTCCCTCAACTCGACCCTCCCTCTTCCATCCACCTGTGCTTAAACGAAGCCAGTGAGGTCCAGCCAAACCCAGAGTTTTCAGCGTGAAAGCAAATAAATGGCTTAGCACCTCAGCCCTCCTTTTTGGTGTTTGTTTCTGTATATAAGTGTGTTTGAGGTTTTCAACATCGCCAGAACATTGGCTGTTAAGAGATGGAAAACATGCAATTTATAGCAGATGGGTGAAGCCTTTTCCTGGCAGTGTTGTTGAAATGAGATCAATCAACAGCATTTCATGCTCCATTTGTCCAAGAGCAGTCCACCTGGGGAAGCCCTGTGGAACCGTGCCTATTAGGAAAACACCTTAACACGTTGCTTTAAATAAAAACTCACCAGTTGGCCTGAATCTGGAAGAAAATAGTTTCTCCAGTGAACCCTCTGCCACTTGCATGTCTCTGCTCTTTTCTCCCTTTGTCCAACTGGGATCATTTACCTTCTTGGCCGGCAGAAGACACAATACAGAGAAGGCATGTAGAGCCCTCACCCATAATGCTTGAACTTGGAACTTTCTTCTCCCTACTTCTTGGGCTCATTGTCTTCCTGCAGACCTCGAGTGGCAAAGATCTGCCAGTTTTCACTTGTCATCCCCTAGGTGCCGCCTTCTCTTTGGTTTCATTATCTCTTCCTGTCCTTAGTCGTAGAGTGTGTTAGGCTGGGGGTGAGAATTACGAGCCAAGGGGAGCCCCTGTGACCTTCGCTGCTCAAGAAACCCATTCTGAGAGGGAGTGAGGTTTGGGGGATGATGCAATAAAAATCAGGTGCTTTGGAGGTTCAGGAGCTGCCCGGAGTTAATCCCTTTTCTTTCTCTGATTCTTACATCTTTCCAGGTGTAAAGTGGACATCGCAGCACTGCCGCTCAAGCAAGCCAACTGCTTGGAGCTGCCCTTGGAGAGCTGCCTGGGGACCCTCTTGATGTTGATCACACTCACTCCCTGTACTGGAGTCTCTGTCTCTGATCTGTGCGTGTGCCCCTTGGCAGACCCCAGCGAAAGAAAGCAGATTGCCCAGCGATATGTGAGTGCCTTCTTGCTACTCTGCCTCCCCGCCACCTCCGCTTTTGAGTTGAAACAAAGTTATGAATTAAAAAACAGATGCATGAAAAGAGGTCTTTGTCCAAAGTTTAATGGCATGTCTCATAAAACAAGGCATCAGATCTAGAGGTTAATGCATTAGTGAGAAGGTCAACATCGATTAGGGGCCACTGTTTTAAAATCCAAAACTGGTAGTTTGAATTTTTCGCTTTCAGAAGCTCTTTGGAGAACATTGAAATCCACAAGGAGGCGAACTTGTTTAGCGTGTCTGCATATGCAAAAATGAACTTTAATAGAAGTTCACAGAAATACCTCGTTAAAAAAAAAAAAAAACAGCCATAAAGTTGGCAGTGTTACAGCCACTTTTCCAGAAGCTCTTAGAATCAAGTGAGAAAGTGCTTATGTCTTATAAAGCAAAGCAAAACCCCGGATAGACATAGAACGCTGTTCTGTACTACCCTGGATAATCACGGCGGTTCGTGATTTTTGCCCAAGTAGTTGCAATGAGCTTGAAAGCCCACTCAGCAGTTTTGAATCAAATGGCTTCGTGCTCTTCATTTATTTTTTGTACTCGGGCTTTCTAGGTGTCTTTATTTGCATTCTGTTTTTATCCCATCTTCTTTGTAAATCAATACGTTTATCTTACAATCACACACGAAAGGCATGTTTTAGAAGTGCAGCAGGAAAATGAAGCAAAGACGAATCCCTATTTAATGGGAATATTATTCTCAGCGTAAACTTTAGGGCCTCCTAGATCCCTCACCATGAGGTGTATTGATTAATTGAATAATTCTTTATCTTCAGGAATACAAAAGCTAATGGCGCAACTTATTGTCAACACAGACTGTGTGCTAGGTTTCTAAAGAAACGTCCACAAAACCCACTATTAATATTCTCTCTGATGACTTCAGTCAAGCAAATGAAAATATGATGATAAAACTTAAACTTTTCCCCCAAACTTTCCCATGGATCAATTGCAAAATTTACCAAATTCACGAGGAGGGTCATATATTTATAAAGTGATGTTAAGTAAGATCAGCATGACTGTTTTGAATTATGCCTCAGGATTTGAGGAGTACTAACAGAAAATAGGTTTCAGGAGGCTAATCAAAATAGAAATATCAAATGTGTGTTTTGTGTTTTCAGCTAGCGAGGTGGCCAGCGTGTTAGAGAAAAGAAGACCAAGTCAATAATAGAAGTTCCAGACCTCTTGTTTTTTAGCTTGTGAGAACTAGATCATATTGAAGCCATTTTCACATTTAAACTGGAAAAGTATTTCTTTCAATTGTTTTCCTTTAGATTAAAATGTTTTAATCTAGCTTAAAAACAGAGGTTTGGTTTTGTTTTGTTTTGTGTTTTTTTCATTAGGTTGAAAATACACAGCAGAAACAACTTTCAAAAGTGTGTAGAAATGATGTATAGGAAGTTAGGCAAAACTGAACTATTATCAAGTTATTGTTATTCTATCCTGAAATGTCTAAATAACAAGGACTTTACTATCCCCGCATAAATCCCCAAGGCCTTCTTATCACAAGTTTTTAGCAAATGATACAGAGATAGTGGAAATATCATATCCAAAAGTTTGAAAGCAGCATCTTTTTCAGCAGCTGTGATCAGGAGGAACACAGAGATACTTTATCGCTTATCTCTTTCATACACCATTACTTTTTTTTTTAATGTTTTATTTATTTCTGAAAGAGAGACAGACAGACCAACAGACTGAGCAGGGGAGGATCAGAGAGAGAGGGAGACACAGAATCTGAAAGAGTCTCCAGGCTCTGATCTGGCAGTCAGCACAGAGCCCGACACGGGGCTCGAACCCACGAACCATGAGATCATGACCTCAGCCAAAGTCGGACGCTTAACTGACTGAGCCACCCAGGTGCCCCAATTTTTTTTTTAATGTACATGCACCATTTCTGAAGGATGCACTGTATAGAGATATGGAAATACTGCTACACATGCTTAAGAATTATCCAGCTAATTGTCAGAATTAAGCAATATTCAAGCATTGGCTCATGCAAACTAAAAAATAAAACAAATGTGAATACAGTGTGATACTACATGTTCAGTCTTTAATTTAATGAGGTGGCTAAAACGTGGGCCAGAAAATGCACTCTGTTTCCATCTCTACTCTCTTTCCATTGCTAATAAGTATCTGCAAAGGGTCCAAGTTGAGTCCCCTGGTATCCATAAAGTTTGTTCTAACAAATAACGTTACCTCTTTGAGTGATTTAAAGCTTTCAGTCAAGAGAAGGAAGGAGAAGCAGCAAATGAAAAATGAAAAAAAAGAGACGCACCACATTTCGGGATACCTTTGCCATCAGTGGGGGCCATGTTAAAAGTAGATTGTGTGTGTGTGTGTGTGTGTGTGTGTGTGTGTGTGTGTTGTAATTAGTTTATTCTAAAGTCCCTTCTAATCAGTTGCCGAGAATGCCTAACTGTCCCATTGACATGATACACTTTGAAACTGTACTAAGCTTTCTTTGCATGAGAAAGGTGATGATCAATCCAGAATGTTCTTCTGTAAGACTTTATGGCATTAAATAGTATACTAGAAAGCTATTCTCATGCATCATCTCATGCGTTTTTCCTCCTCAGGGCTTACGGAATTCACTGAAAGATATGAAGGACATCGGCATTTTACAAGTGAAGGTCTTAAAGGCAGTAGATCTTTTAGCAGCAGATTTCTCAGGTATGAATTCATTTTCATTTTTATTTATTTCCTGTTTCGAAGTGATCTGATGGCAAAGCAAAATGTCTTCATGGGCACCTGGGTGACTCAGTCAGTTAAGCATCTGGCTTCCACTCAGGTCATGATCTCATAGTTTGTAAGTTCAGGCCCTGTGTGAGGCTCTGTGCTGAGAGCTCAGATCCTGGAGCCTGCTTCAGATGTATGTTTTCCTCTCTCTGCCCCCTCCAACTCATGCTACCTCTAGCTCTCATAAATAAATAAACTTAAAAACTAAAAATATAAATAAAAGAACATCTTCATAAGTGAAAGCATATACACACATTATGCTTTTTCAGATATTAAAGAGGGCACTTGTGACGAGCACTGGGTGTTGTATGTAAGGGATGTATGTATGTAAGGGATCACCGGGTTCTACTCCTGAAATCAGCGTAACACTCTACGTTCCCTAACTGGAACTTAAATACACAATTTGAAAGCAAACAAACAAAAAACCCACATAGAGTAATAGAAGAAGAAAAAAAAGATGCATCCAAGCAGTTTTTTTCCCCACTAAATGAACATTTTTCACAAAATCACTTTTTTCAAATAATTTTCTTATGGTCAGGTAACGTACCGGTCTGTTTGGCTTTCAAATATTTTTGTGGATGACTAGTGCCATTGCTTCGTTCTTTGGTAAATTTCTGAGAAAATGTGACTAGAGTACCTCAGATGACAGACCCGAAGTCCTGCCTTCACTCCTTGGCAGTGCCCTGTGCTGGAAGCATTTCATCCTTGACAGTGTAAGAAGATGTGGTAGTTGGTAAAGTTAAACAGGGACGCGCATCTAGGTGGCGCTTCTTGGAAACAGTAACCAAAGTTACTGAGTGGGGGAGGGCAAAGAGAGCAAGAGAGACACAGAATCCAAAGCAGGCTCCGGGCTCTGAGCTCTCAGCACAGAGCCGGACTCAGGGCTTGAACTCATGAACTGCAAGATCATGACCTGAGCGGAAGTCGGACGCTTAACGGACTGAGCCACCCAGGCGCCCCGAACTCTCCTTTTTTTTTTTTTTTTAATTTTTATAGTTTATGAAAACACTTCATTCACCCATTTCACATATGCTTTTGGCATTAAGAGTTTAACGATCACTACAGCACATTTAAAGTTATCTACTCGTTTTCCGAAGCCAATTATTTTTACTTCAGTGTGAACATTTCGACATAGTACTTTTTGAATCTTTGATGGTTGATGTTTTGGGAAACATCTCAAACACAAGAACTCATACATGCCTTAGAGCAGTATTTTCAGAAATTCTCTCTATAGTTGTGTGTTTTGGGATCTGTCGGAAGTAACTGCGATACATTAAAAGTTTTTCTTTTAAAAAGTTGTTCCTTTTTTTTAAAGTCTTGTTTATAACCACTTCTGTATGTGGAAACACATTTTTCAAACCTACTGTATTTCACCCTTCCTGACAGGTACCCTCTCGACAGCCCCCCAAACCCATATTTATGGAGGTGTTTCAAGTCAATGTCGCTTTTCCAAACAGTATTTTGACTATTAAAGTGAATAGGAGAGGAGCCTGGGGGAAAAAAATGGGGAGAATATTTGTAAAGGCCAGAAATCAAAGAAAAACTCTCCTTTCAGAAGAATAATTTAGGGGGACATTTTGTCATTTTCTTCATATTCAGGATTCTCATAGATAGTTTTGGAGTGGATGAAGGCAAGTACCAGAGGATTCCAGTCACAAAAAGCAATGGTTACAAATCCAGCCGTGCTGTGTGGTTTGACTAAATGCCCTGATGTTTTACCATCTCTGTATTATTTATGGGAAAATTATTGCTCTTCAGAATTGAAGCAGAGTTCCTTGTAATTAGCTAAACATGTCTTTAGACCATATTGATCTTTATTTTTAGAACCAGATTTCACAGTCTGTGTTCCCTGTTGGCTGGCAGGCTCCTTGTGTGAATCTTCCAGTCTCTTCTCATCCAGGATATCACATTAGGGCAACACAGTGGACCTAATGCAGAGAGTTGTAAAGCAGATTTTCTACACGGGAAAAAAAGAGATGGATTCAGACTGCAGGGAAGTAGCAATAGGAATGTAATTAATACCTCCAAGAGGTTGGCTTTTGTACCATATAGTGGGTATTGTTATCGCTATTAGTATTGTTACCAACGCACTTGCTATGCAGTGAAAAATGCAGGTGGATGGTAAATCACAAGAGGTATGTAGACTCAAGATTGTCAGTACCAGAAAAATTTCAGAAATTAACTGTTTGTACCCCAAACGCAGCCTTTTCCAGTCTCCAGTACTTTATACAAGAGCATTCTATTGCAATGGCTCAGGGAAAAAAGTATTCCCCCCTGCAAATACAAAGGAAATAAATTTACTCTGAATAACTAGGGGTGTTCTCAGAGAATGGTCATCATTTTAGTCAGAGTACAAAAGGGAATTTACTAACCTTCCTACTTTTGTTTTCTACTTTTTGATAGTTCGTTGTTTCTTTTTTTTTTAATGTTTTTTATTTATTTCTAGGAGAGAGAGAGAGAGAGACAGCGTGAGCAGGGGAGGTTCAGAGAGAGAGGGAGTCACAGACTGAAACAGGCTCCAGGCTCTGAGCTGGCAGTCAGCACAGAGCCCGACGCGGGGCTCGAACCCACGAACCGTGAGATCATGACCTAAGCAAAAGTTGGATGCTTAACCGACTAAGCCACCCAGGCGCCCCGATAGTTCGTTGTTTCTTAAAAACAATACCGAGTAACCACAATAACTGATGCTTTAAGTTTGTTCCATCGAAGATTCCAGGGGATCTGATAAAGCAAACGTTCAGTGAGAGATCTTGGCCGTATTGTGTATGGAGGTTACCGTTAAGAGTTTGCAGAGTACAGGGAACCTCATGTCCTCAAAGGGCAATGAATGCACTTGGTAAGCCTTCCTGTCCATGGTTTACCCATTTAGAAGTGATCTCTGTCTTAACAAGGAGCAATTAGAAAAAGAAAATATCCACCACTCATTGCCACTGTGATCAAAGTACGATACTCTCTCTTAGTGGTTATTGCTATTATGATTATATAATCATGAAAAAAATACAGCCTTATATAATTATATAGTCATGAGAAGAAATTAAACTTGGGAGAAATTGAATCCCTATTATTTTGCTAATATTTTAGAACATTGGAATAGTATATGTATATATGATATGCATAATATAGATACTTGATATATATGTCTACATCTATACATATGTGTGTCTATTATACATACACAAACATATTCACTAACGTGAATTTCCTTCCTAATGAAAAATAGAAATGTGCTTTTTATATAAAGAAAATATAGTGTACCTTTCCAAATGTATTAGAAGATATTAATGATATAAATTTATATATATTACCAATAGTAAGATATTTACCAAAGATAAAAGCTTCAGTGCTCTAATGAATAGAAACAATATTTATTATTTTTGACTTAGTTCATTCTTTTACAAATATGCCATTCTACTGTGTGATTGAACCAATTCAGTGCTCATATATTTGAACTTATATATAGCCTGGCATTGTTTTTTTTTATATCTGACACTTGTTTGTAATAGGCGAGAAAACTCTTAAAGAATCTGAAGTAATCTATCTTCTCTTGCAGTCGATCCCTCTAAAATTGGTGAAAGACTTTTTAATGTTCTCTACCGCCAATATTAGCCGTGGATATCCATAAGCAGTCATTCTAATAGAAGAGCCTGTCAGCTATTTTCATTAAAGAGTTTGTCTCACACATCCCTTGGGTCCAACGTAACCCAAGATGTTTAAGTAATAGGTTGTCCATTCTGATGCTATTACTTCTATAGTAAAGCAGACCATAGCCTTGATTCACGAAACAGATGATAAATCGTACTTTGAGACTCAAGGTGAGCCTAGCTGTTTGTAATGCTTAATGAGACTCGTACACTCCACCCAGCTGCCGCCAGTCTTAAAACTCAGCTGTTTTGAGAAGAAAGTAACCCCCGTTCTAATGATTAAGTGAGAGAGAGAGGAACGATTTTGTTCAGGACAGAGCTGAGAAATGATGTTTGCAACAGGTTCCCTCTACAGTAACGCCCTCACAGAGAATGGTGCTGTTTCCTCCACTTTGCCCAGGGCTCCATCAGACTCATGGATTAGTCCTGCTGGGAAAAAAAACAACAACAACAGAGTTTATTTCATGAAAGATAATAATGTAGGTGACAGATAAATAAAAAGATTGTTAAAGAACTGAAATCTTTTCTGGTCCGATTTGTATTTTAGTACATATGGCCATGCTTACCTTACCTATTGAGAGACCAACCAGTGAAACGTAGGAAATTATTTACTCTCACCTATAGGGAGAATTGTTCTGAGTGCCTTATTATAATTGATAGACTATCGTGAGGAACCTGCTGGATTTTAACATAGAGGGATTGCTTCAGTGTTTCAGTATTGAAGCCATTATGGCTACCATTTGCGTAAGGTACCTGCCAAATTCAACACCTAGTCAGTGACTCTCCCTTCATATTCTCCGAATGAAGATGTAGGTTTCACACTTCTTCCTTCCTGTTAATTAAGCCTTCTCTTTATTCTTTAAAATAATTCTTAGATCTTGACATCCTTTCCCCTAGGGAATCTTGTAGTGGTAACACTGGTTATTGTTTGGTCTTCCTCTGCTCTATTCTTCTATCCTGTTTACCACTACCAAGGTGCCCCTACCCATTAAGAATTCTGGGCATAAAATGGAGGTTATAGAAATGGAGGAAAGTTTTCTTTACCTCACCAAGCCAACAGTAGCGAAAGAGCAAACAGAGAAGCATGGCAAGCCCACCTCAGTGTAGAATGACGATGAATCATGTAACAATGTAATGTAATATAACTCATGTAACAATGTAACGTAATATAGATCTCAATATTTCTCCTTTTTGTCTCACAATCCTATCTTAACTTTTCATGTTCCTATCATTGTTATAATCTGGCTGCCATGATGAGAACCTGGGAAAGTATCCAGCAACAACAAAGGGAAA